TAATAATGATAGTAATGGTAATAACTTTTATTTATCAAAATTAGTGAGAGACTTATGTATAATAGAACTGCATGAACTTTGTTGAACAAATATAACGATTGGAGTAAATATTACCCTTGTTTATTACTTCGATTAGAGTATTAAAATATTATTTTTATCCAAAGAATACTCGGCAAAAGTCAATATTTTCTTAAGTATTAAATTATATAAAAACATGTGTTAAAAAAAATGTATTATAAAATAAAAAATAAGTACTTAAGTATAAAAAAAATACATGTATTATTATAATGTATATACATCACATTAACTATGTTGTCTATAAAGTAGGGGTTGCAGCTGATATTTCAGCTTTAAACTCATTAACTTCAGATTAAAGCTGAAGCTGATCAAGTCAGTTTAATCAGCTTGATAGCTGATAGTAAAGAAGAATATTACTCCATAAATATAAAAACATATAGGAATTTATTCAATGAAAATCTAAAATAGTGACAAAATTTTAACATATATGTAAAAAATTAAAAAAAAAAAATTTGCTAAAAGTTGTTCCTATTTATAAATGTTGCTGTCAGAGCCTAGATCTAGAAATCACAATTTTAGGCGACCCAAACTGGGTTTTTAGAGATTTGTTTAAAAGGTGGTGCTCAAATATCTAATTCCATTTTTAATAATCTACATAATTTTTTGGTAGATTTCAAGTTCTTGCAAAAGATGGTTTTATCTATGAAAATATTGAGTACGAAATCAATCTTGCTTTTATCATAAGCGATGCACTAGCTCGAGCATTTGTTAAGTGTATTAAGGGACACAATGATTATAACTGATGTGAGCGTTGTGTTCAGAAATGAGAGTGAGCAAGATAAAAATCTCACATATTTAACTAGTTTTAAGCGTTGATTTAGATTTTTTGTCATCAAAAGTATTGTGAACATCTTAGTGGTGCGTTAAATTGAATTAAATTTTGACATGGCGACAAAGTTTCCTTTAGACTTAATGCATCTAGCATGCTTAGGGGTATGTGAAGACTCATTAACTTATATATGTATTGCCCAAATGTTGTAAATTGTCTCAAATTATAGTCGATATTTTATCTGACGGATTGTTCCAGATACATCCTTACATTCCAAGAAAATTTTTTAAAAAACCAAGGACTTAATTAGATATTTAAATATGGAAAGCAACTGAACTTTTCTAGTATACACTGGGCCAGTTATTTAAAGGGAATGGTTTAGCGAAAAATCTATTCGAACTTTTTAGATCTTTCAATTTTGAAATTTCAAAAAAAAAAAAAAAAAATTTAGGTAAAATGGTTTTAAAAAGCAGACAAATCTTGTAACGAATAGGTTATGTTTAAGGAATTTGCACCTTTTTAGTCGTTTTATATAATAAAAAAAATAAAATTTCACCACCACCAAAAATTGGTTGGAATTAGAACTTTTAACTATTTTTAATAGTTTGGAAATCTTTTAAATACATATTTAAAAGTAAAATGGCTTATAATTTTTATAAAAAACAAAATATACAAGTTTTAATATATAGTATTCATTTATTAAACAAAAATTCAAAAACAAATCAAATAAAACGCGAAAAAAATAATAGCACCACAGCTTTAATGTGTACTTTAAAATAAGGAAATTTTATGAGATCAATTGTTTTATACATTTTACAATAAATATTAGTTTTTTCTTAACCTATTAGTATTTTGTAGCGTGACCTTTATTGGCAATGACGGGTACACAACGTCTTGGCATCGAGTTAACCAAATCCTGACATCGCTTTAGCGGAATTTCGCTCTATGTCTCCTTCCAACTGCGTTCCAAAGTGCCTCCTTCGTGGTGGGTTTGGCAGCAGCAACCACCTCCTTTACATCAGCCCACAAATTCTCGATTGGGTTAAGATCTGGCAACTGTGCTGGCCACTTCATAACGTTCAATTTATGCTCCTCAAACCAGTTCTTCGCCTTCTTGCTAGTGTGCTTCGGGTCATTGTCCTGTTGGAACACCCAAGAAAAAAGGCATTTCATAGTCTGCAAACGGCAACATCACCCTATCCAATATATCAACATAAACGTGTTGATCCATAGTAGTAGTAATGTGATGAATAGACCCTAATCCGTAATAAGAAAAGCATGCCCACATCATTATACTACAACATCCATGTTTAATAGTATATTTGGATTGTATTCTGCATTCGGCGGTCTTCTGACATACGCCCGAGAGCCTTTTCCATTCTTACTTTCGTCTATCCATAAAATATTCATCCATTTTTCGAGTGGCCAATTTGAGTGTTTTTTAGCAAACGCAATACGCTTTACAACATGTCTGCCACTTAGAAGTGGAACTTTTCTGGGGCTATAGGCTTTTAATCCATTAACTCGCAGACAACTCCGAACTGTTTGTACCGTTGCATCGATGTTAAATACTTTTTTAGCTCGGTAGCTGTTTTAAAAGGTTCCTTTTTAGCCTGTCGGACTTAGCGATTGGCCATCAATCTTGAAATAAAATGTTTTTGACTACGTGTCTTAGGCATTTCTTGAAATTTTATGGCATGTCTTATCATTTTATTGGAACTAAAATGATAAGACATGCCATAAAACTAAACAACCAACACTCTATAAGATTTTCCTGCTGATATCAACTTTCGGATCAGTTCTCGTTTTCCTGCACTACAATGCTTTCCGCGTCCCATTTTTATATGTTAATGTCTCCTACCAATACGCACTAACATAAAACGAATAAAACAGCAAAAAAATAAAATTCAACGCTTGCTATTTTCACAACTATTTCTACCGTTATCAGAGTATTTTACTACAAAAGAACAGTGCTATTTTATTTTTCGGTCAGAATTGACATTGTTGATTAAAATCGAGCAACACCAAGCAGTTTTTTTTCCCAAAACGATTTGTTAAACTGCAAAGCTACAAAAAAAAATTATTTTGCATGGTGTTTTCTTAACAAAAAAGAAAATACGCTTAGTGGTGCTATTTTATTTTTCGCAACTGTATATATATATATATATATATATATATATATATATATATATATATATATATATATATATATATATATATATATATATATATATATATATATATATATATATATATATATATATATATATATATATATATATATATATATATATATATATGACCAACATATAAACTAGTTTTCTCATCCACCATTAACCCTTCTTAACAAATTTTTTGAAGTTCATCCTGTCCAAACTTCTGCATATCTGATTATTAAATAATCTTTTGTGCAACATTCGAACCGTAAATATTAATCTTATTGTGAAGACGATAATGCTTTATAGTTTTCAATATGCTTAGCATTTTCTTCCATTGACATACTAAACTCTTGTAAAAGGAATGATAGATAGAAAACGCATTCATTAAATAGTAAAAGAACATAAAAAATCAACATGTCATAACAAATCAACAGAAGCATATTTCCAATATTTTTCAAAATATAATGTTCAAAACTTACTGTTTTCCACACAATTATCCAAACACAATTATTCCAAACAATTATTTTTTTTTTTTCTTTGCCGTTTGCTAAAATTTACAATAAGAAAGATCGTACATATATAATATATGGCCGGAGCAAGAAGAAGACGTATGTTGTCTTATCGCCAAGCCCCGTTTACATTGTTGCCTTCATTTTATATAACAAGTTAAAAATTACAAAATACAACACAATATATTACAAGTAGTAAATCGTATAATAAGATATATAAATAAACATTTTTTTTAGTTATATATATATATATATATATATATATATATATATATATATATATATATATATATATATATATATATATATATATATATATATATATTATTTATAGATAAGAAATAAATCAAGACAAAAATAAGAGAGTCGTGATGACTTTTTCAGTTTAATTATTTTAGGTACTATTTTTAAAAGAAATTTTTAAAATCGAAGTTTTTTCCTAATAGAAAACGTTTAGATTCTTTTTAAACATTAGAAGCATAACTTGGTATATATTAATTTTATAAACATAAAGTGCATTAAGTTCGCTTAGAAGAGATTCACCATTAACAGTTCTGTTAACGCCAAATATAATCCTTCATGCATGTTTTTGCTTGCTATAGATTTTTTTAAGTTTCCCATAATTAGTACTTCCCTATGCAATATTGCAATAAGAAAGATAACTATGAATAAATGAAAAATATATAATTTTTAAAGACTCAATATTAAGAAATGGTTTAATTTTATATAACATTGAAATATTTTTGGAGATTTTGTTTTCAATAGATTTAATATGATATTTCCATGATAAATTTTCATCTATAATCACTCCTAGAAAGTTAACAGTTGACTCTCTTTTAATAATTGTTTTATTCATAAAGAGATTGGGTAATTTTAGAGAAAGGTTATCTCCCCTACGAGGTTTGTGGAACAAGATAAATTTAGTTTTCTCACCATTTAATGAAAGTTTATTATTTGTAATCCAGTCATTTATTTTTAATAATTCTTCGTTAGATATTCTAAACAGTTCTTTTATATTATTGAGTGAGTAAAAAAAATTCGAATCATCAGCAAACAAAATAACATTTAAAACTTTGGATGCTAAGTATAAATCATTAATATAGAGTAGGAATAAGAGCGGCCCTAGGATTGATCCCTGGGGAACACTACAAGTTATAATATGATTTTCAGTTTCATTTGCTGTATATAATATGCATTGTTTTCTGTTTGACAGGTAACTTTTAAACCATAGTAAGTTATTATTAAGTATTCCATACAGTTCTAGTTTTTTTAAAATAATATCGTGGTTTACAGTGTCAAATGCTTTTGACAAATCAATAAAAACTCCTAATGTATAGCAATCATTATTGAACCCATTGGATATATAATTTATTAGATTGACTACCGCATGATCAGTTGAATGATTTTTTTTGAACCTAAATTGTTTGTTATACATTATATTGTTCTCAGTTAAATAAGTATTAAGTCTATCATACATGATTCGTTCTAACAATTTTCAGAAACATGGTAAGAAATAGGTTTATAATTAGACATAATCGTGTCATCGCCAGATTTAAAAATAGGTATGATCTTAGCAATTTTTAATTTCTCCGGTACAATACCGGATTCTAGTGAAAGGTTAAAAATGTAAAACAGTGACGGTTCAATAATATCAAACACTGCTTTAATAACATTCACGTTAATATTATCTATGCCAGCGCATTTATTACTTTTTGGAAAGCTGAATGCATTTCGCAACTCATTTATGTTTAATTTTACTTCTTTCATAGATGTATTGATTGATTTCATATAAGATTCAAAGTTCGAGGTGTTTTTTGGAACTTTATCAGCTAAAGTTGGGCCAATATAAGAAAAAAGTTTATTGAGCTTTTTAACAATGACTTCTTTATTATAAATCATTTTCCCGTTAACTAATAGTTTTTGTGGCAAATTATTTTTTGGATATTTATTTTTACCGATTATCTGCTTAATCACGTTCCACGTCTTTTGTGTGTTTCCGCGTGATTTTTTTCAACAACCTTGCATAATAATATTTTTTTGCATGTTTCTTTGTTTTTTCAAACGTGTTTTTATAATTTTTGTATTTTATTTCATTTTTATATGTTTTATGTTTTAAATATTTTTCATGAAGTCTTTGTTTTCTCTTTGATGATTTATATAAACCTTTGTTCGTCCAAGAGCTTAGAAGTGAATTAGGATTTACAACTTTTTTTGTACTGGAAATGCTAAATCATAGTGTTTACAAAACTGCGCCAAAAATAGTTCATACGCATTATTCGCGTCTTGTGATTGTAATATAAGGTTCCAATCATGGTTGCATATGAATCTTCTAGTGGGGAATATTTATCAAGTATAATGTCGCAAACTCTGGGTACATTGAACATTGATATATTAAAGTGTGTCGGTTATGCAACAGGCGGAGCTTCCAACATGAATGGAGAATACAAAGGATTCGCAGCATGGATGTTCAAAGAAAATCCCAATCAAATACATGTTTTGTATTATGCTAACGTTCTTAATTTGGTCATGTCAGATGTTTGTAGTACGTCCCTTACAAAAAAACCCAGCGAACTTCCAGCGAAAGTTCGCTGGAAATTAAAAGATCACTGGATTTCCATGGAAACAAAAGACTTCGCTGGAAGTTCGCTGGAAATCCAACGAAAAACTTCCAGTGATCTTAAAGTTCGCTGGGTTTCTTGCGAAATATTTCGCCGTGATGTAAAAAGCGTTGCTGTTACAACTTCTGCAAGCAGTTAAAACTTGGAAAATTGATAATATAGCTTCTTAAAATAATATTTCAAATTTTTGTATAAAAGTAATCCTTTTTATTTTATTTTTTGCATCTAGTAGATGATCTATAGTGTGAGTTTCAATTATTATTAGTTCTACTCAAGTTACAAAACAAAATCATCTGGTATGTTGCTCAAAATGTTTATTTCTCTTAAGTATTGTTTATTATGCATTCGCTTTATGCGAATGCATTTTATTTATTAAATTCAACTTTATTATTTTATAAAAATAATTTTTATAAATGTCTTTATGATTAAGTATTTTATATTAAAAATAATAAATAACAATCTGTTTCTCTCTCTCGCTGAAAGAGAGGGATATATAATATATATCCCTCTCTCTCTCTCAGTATATATATATATATATATATATATATATATATATATATATATATATATATATATATATATATATATATATATATATATATATATATATATATATATATATATAATATGTTAGTGTAGTCTACAAATAGAGTGCTCAACGTTCTTAAAGAACAGAGCAATAATAAATTAGTAAAAACACTTATCTAATTTTTATTTTCTTCTACAGCTTGTTTCTCCATCAGTAGGATCATCAGGAAGGAATCTTTCTGATGATCCAACTGATGGAGAAACAAGCTATAGAAGAAAATAAAAATTAGATAAGTGTTTTTACTAATTTATATATATATATATATATATATATATATATATATATATATATATATATATATATATATATATATATATATATATATATATATATATATATATATATATATATATATATATATATATATATATATATATATATTTGTGAAGTTGCTTTAAGTACTAATAAGCAATGTACAAAATGTTTGAAATATTTTACATTATCCTATCTTTATAAGAAATGCAGTTATTTTCATATTTTAAACATAAACAAACAGCATAAAAACATGTGTGATAACAATTGGATACATTTAGCAAGTCTTGAAGAAAATGTGCAAGCAACAATTAGACTTGTTGTTAATACTGATGGAATTCCTGTTTTTAAATTATCAAAGTGGACCTTGTGGCCTTTGCTAGCATCCATTCATAATTTTCCATATTTATTGCAAATTACTAATATTTTGTTTTTTGGTTTCTGGTCCAGTTTTAAAAAACCAAACGTGCAATTATTTTTATCTTGTTTTGTTGATTTTTGACTAACCTATCCACTACTGGTATAC